CTATATAGGTATGCTGCCTGGACTGCAATCCCTAAAAAAAATCCTAAATACCTTTATTTATTTGTTCATCCTAACAGATAATTCTAGGATAATGAACAGAGCATTCAAAAGTAGCAGCTTGGCAGTATATTATTTGAACACTGTATTATTAGGAGGAGTTTCAAATTATGTACAGTATATGGATGATGCAACACTGTTCGTGACAAACAGCCATTACTGACCCAACAGACTACAATCATACACGTTTGAATAGCACAGTAGCTTCTTTTAATTCTGTTATTAATTATTTAATATGATACAATAACTAATAAATACTCCATTAATTAGTAAGCACTTGGTGTTTCTCAGTATCCCTTCCTATCATCTAAAGCACAAACAGCTGCCTAGATAGCTCCACTGCTATTTTTTAAGAGGAAGAGTCTTGCATGTTTTAGAGTTAGGGTTCACCAGTCACACTCAGTGTTGTGACTTCAAAGTTAACAGGTATGTGAGGGATGTTTGCCTGCCACATCATTACTAGGAACATGAAGGAAGGCAATTCTGAGGTGTCACACATAAGCCAAGATGTGACAACAACAGGAGGAGGCGACAGCGATACACAGCCAGATACAGGATACAGATGGGCTGTAACCTGTCATGGACTGAATTTACTAAGTGAACCAAGTGAACGTGCTGAACATGTTCTGAACCAAACAATCATGTTGAATGATGCTGTAAATGAAACATTTTAACATTAAGCACACAAGCTCTGAAAGGCATACTTCTCAGTTTCAGAAAAATTGATTTCAAGCATGATTTCATGACAAGTAAGGAAGCACATGACCATGCAGAAGCAGCCACGTAGCTTGCTTGTACTAAGCTCAAGTATAACCAGCACCATAGGCACGTTTTCACTTCTGACATTTATAACAGTCTGTGTTACTGTCTTGTGAAAACATGCACGGTTTCCATCACATGCTAGCTCAGCCAATTTAGTCACAATTATCTTACACAGCTGAGTAAGGCTTTGTGATGCAAGCTGGAGCATCATACATACAGTTACCTTTATTGTTTCATTTTCCTTGTCTGAAAATCAACATTACAGTACAGAGAGTCTGGACTTTTTCGCGATATATTTCACTCAAGATGTGTGGCACAAACAGTGAGTGTCCATATTACTTGGATCTCATATTCACATCAGCTATTTCTTCCCCTCAGACACCGATCTCTGCTTTAGTTTAAACGTTGTATCAGCGCACCAAAAGCCATAACGTTACCCAAAATATTCTACAACAAGCTAAAAATGCCATCCCAGCCTTAGCCACATATCGATAGCATGTGATCCTACAATCTGATGCCTTATTCCACTCGGTCGTTTAAGATATCTGTTTTCAGTCTGTGGCTAAAAAGATCATCGATGTAACGTTATAAATCCAAGCCCGGGGAAGCTTTACTCTATGTGACAGTGCTGATGAGAAGGAGCAATGGGGAAGGGAAAGCGGATCTTATGATACATTGGACAACAATGACAGGAATTCGGACTCAAAGCAGACACCGAGCTGTAACGTTAACGGTAGATGCTCAATCCAGAGGAAAAAGCCTTCGCAATAAAATTGTTGAACCATAACAAGGCCAGCGTCTCTGCCGTTTGATCCCCTTACATACAACATACGACAGCGCATTAGTGAAGTTGAGCTAGCTAAACACCCGACTGAACACATCTACAACCAAAATTATAGTCTTCATTAGGTAGTTTGGTTTGCTGGCGGCTAGCAAGCAACACATCGGCAGCTAAAGCAGCGAACAGCTGGCCTGTACACGTAACTAACGTGAGCCCGTGTCATTTTCCCCTAGCCTGCTAACGTTACCGCCGCTAGCTCATCGAGCTGGTATTAGCCTTGTATGCTAGCTAGCATCGCCGGGTGCCGGAGAACTGTCTGTCAGTGAAAATGAGCCCAGAAACTTCACATTTGATCACCTACCCATGTCAAGAGGCTTTCACACAGTTCCATTCGATCCAAGCACTCTGATGTACTCATCGTTAACTAACGTGGACCGACTTTGTGTGGTGAACAGAGCCTGAAGTTAACAGTCGGCTTCATGTAACGTTACTCCCGAGTCTCTCGCTCTCTGGGTGCCTCCCGGTCGGCCAATAGTCGGGCTCGCTTCTTCGCTGGTCCGGCGTCTGCCAACTGAGGGCTGGGTGGGCGGAGTCAAAAGTGACGATTATGAGAAACTCCCACGATTACATTAAAATAAAAACCCAACCGGAGAAATTTTCCGGTGGAACATGAATGTCATATAAAATGAGCAGGCCTGCCCACAGAAATCACTGGGCCCCTGAAAAGGTCCAGTAAATGGGCCCTCTGCAAATCTGCTTTACTCATGTCAAGGCATGCTGTGCTCTCTTTCTCTCTCCTACATAAACACATACATGGCCTCCGCATGTGGTGCACTTCTGATGTTTTGAGGTTGCATACAACAGCATGTTTTCATTATGAAACAGGCTATATTTTACTAAAGCAAAATTACATTAATTTTAATAAGTAATGGTGAGTTTTTTGGTTCAAAATAAAATGTGGTTATCTTTGCTTATATTTAGAATGAACATCATTAGTGCTGGACTACATGGGCCCCCCTAGCAGCTGGGCCCCAGAATGCTCCCCCCCCCCTTGTGGGCTGCCCTGAAAATGAGTAGACTACATTTTGAAGCTAGGTAAAAACAAACATGAAGCTGTGCGTTGAACTGACATATACAGTCACTTTGAAGGGAAGAATAAAGAACATTTGCTTGCAGGGGCTGGGCTGACCTGTAGCAAACATGAGCTGTTCAACCCCTCTTTACCCAAAGTTTGTTTGAAATGCAAAATTGACCTTAGGCCCCATTTCAGTTTAATTATTCTCGACTGGTGCATATTAAAAAATAAATCTGTAATTTATCAAAAAACCACAACGTTATTGCCAACTTGGGAATTTCATGGCCCCAGGCCCTCAGTGACCTCTTTGCTCTGTAGGTGATCCAGCCAAAGGGGAAGATAAACAAAATTCATTAGCATGAGCTATGTGGGTACAAATAGAATATATAGGATATGTTCAGAAATTATAGTATTTTAGTAAATGCTCCGTACTTGTATAGCGCCTTTCTAGTCTTTTCGACCACTCAAAGCGCTTTTACACTACATCTGCATTCACCAATCACAGTGCTCAAACTAAATTAGAGGGGTCATGAGACTATTGCCAGCAAAGGAAAACAGAAAATGTATGCTACACAAAATGGCATTCCTCTAATCTCTGCATTTTTCTTGTTAATTACTGGATCATTTTACCTCTTTGGGCCTCTTAAATGTATTAAACTAAAACGAGGTGAAAACACTGCCTTGGTTGAAGTGGAGTTACAAACAAAAAGGTTTGGAACAATTGATTTAGCGGATTCCTCCTTCAGCTAGATTATAGACACTGGTATATTGATTTACCATTTTGAAAAGGCAATTTGCTCCCGAAACTTGACAAACACAGTGAGAAGGCACAAAACATATACCAGCAAAACTTAGCTTAGATGATGTAGTATGTAGGGGTAAAAAAACCCGCTGCCTCATATTTATATTTTGGAAATTCTGATGCAGATTGCGCCACAGCACTGACTCTTCAATCAGCTACAGTATTTTCACACCAGACTCTCACCTAACCAGTTCTGGAGAGCAGCAGAGGCATTTACAACACACACTGCTTCCATTGGCTTCAGTTCAGCTCACAAAAGGGTGGAGGTTGCTGAAACACCCCAGACGACAAAGTGGAGAAGACGCCAATCAGTTTAGACAGTGAAAAGGTATGACACAGATTTGCATGTGCCACATCTTCAAGTGAGACATTTCAAGAGGGACTGATGGGTCTTTTTTTAGGTGATCTTAGCTGTCAGACAAACTGAATTAATTTTACAGTTGACTGTAGTCACACGCACCTCACCCCATGAACATTAAGCCCAATGCTAGCTTAGCAAATTAAGCCCCAAGAAAGCAAATGGCCTGGATACTGTTTCAGTTACTGCTCTGAAGCAGCCATTTTCAGCTCCCCCCCAGGACACCTCACTGAGAGTACCTTTAGGGTGTCAAGAAAAGCTTAACAGGAAGAGAGGGGGGAAAGTATTTCTACACATTTAAGATATCATCTACTCCTGATGATTGTTTTATTTGTATTAATAAATCAATCACTTTTAGCCTCCCCTCCAATAAACAAATAAACCAGAAAATGGAATATCTGTCTTTGGCTGGACTGGTCGACACAAGCTATGACTGTTAAGGTCTCACAAGTCAAAAAGGTTGTGAATGACAACTGTATCTTCACAGTGCACCAGCAGCATAAGTTCTTAACAGAGCTCTCAAACCTCTCCAAATTAGCATATAAATATTTACAAAATATTTGCTAGAAATGAACTGAATCAAACACTGTTACATATGTTGACATCATTGTCATTTTTATTTACTTACAGATTTTTTATAACTAGGACACTGATGTTCCAAGAATGAATTAAGAATCTGAAAATCTTGATGGTGTGCATGGAGTTTTAGGATTAGGACTGTAAATATCTGGTTGCGAGACATCCAAACTCGAAATTATCTTGGAGAGGCTTAGGTAAACTTTGAGATGAAAAGTTAACATTCATAACACTGGAAGAGTTTACATTCAACATGACCTACAATTACTATTTGACACCTTTGGTTTGGGATTAATAAAAAAAAAAAAAAATAAAAATAATAATAATTATAATATATATATATATATATATATATATATATATTATATATATATATATATATATATATATATTCTTGAGTAGAAATCTGCCAGTTGAGGAGTTATAATCCTGTGCATCCTCAATTCATGAGGATTGCACGCAGAAAAGGTGTAGGTTTCATCAGATCTAATTAATAAATGTAAACTGCTGGTGGTGAAAATGATGATGATTTTACACAAGCAAGAAAAGCTGTGATTTTCCAGTCATTATGATTATGCATAGTCACAGGTTACTTACATAGTGCCTCATCAGTTTAATATGGTTCCAATAACACACATTTTAACAAACAGTTGACAATCAGGATGCAGACAGTCAACTTTAAATGCATGTTATCAAGACACTGCTATCAATACATTTACATACAGTTGTCTCATTATGATGATATGCACATTATATAAATGACTGCTGCTTTTGGCAATGCTGTCATATAATTGGCAGTAATGCTAGTCAGTCAGTTAGGGATGTCCCTCAAGTAGCTGAATAGACAAAAAAGATTCATAGCTCAATCTGTTACTAACACTTCTCCAGCATTATTGATCAACTGTCCTTTAAGCGTTTGTTCAGTCTTCACATGTCCACATCAGATGCTGCGTTCCCCTCTTCCCCCTGAGCCTGACACGTGCGAGCTTGAGGCCACTTTTGGTGAGCGAGCACCTAGCCGTTCAGTCTCTGTGTAACCACCTCTCTGTACATGATAGAGATGTACACAAAGAGAAGCAAGATTACAAAGAAATCGTCCATGAATCCCAGGAGACCGAAGAGGGCCTCGGGGAGGATATCGAGCGGCGAGGCCAGGTACGTGAGAGCGCCGATCAGGCAGAGAAGAATCCGAATTCTGAACATCCAGAAGAGGCCACCCACGGAAAACATTTCTCTGAAGGCATGACGAAGCAGGGTGGGCACGTCTCGCAGCCTGTCCATATACTGAAGAAGACAGAGGAGAGGAAATGTCATGAGAAAGTCTGTTCTAAATATACTCCCCTGAATTACAATGCACTCCAGTCAGTATCTCATTTGCATACTTGTATCTTTTACCAGCAGTGCTACAAATTATACACAGTTTGGATGCGCATTAATGTTGTTAGAATACTCAAAAGCACTGTCACTGATTTTAACATATTTTAAGAACACACAAAACAGGACAATGACAATGTCTCCAGTGGCATCTTTAACCCGTACATATGTACATGTTATTTAAATTTGAATAACGTTAAAGTAATCCAAGCTAACCTGTAACTACAGCCCCCTATGAATGTAGCTGGCTATAGCATACTCACAGATCTTGGTTGGCCTGAGAACCTGCGGTTGTAATCGTTAATGTCTCTTAATATCAGCTGAGGTTCAGCCTCGCCATCCTGGACCCTCTGAGGTGTGGCATGCTCATGAAATAGTGGGAAGAGCAATGTTACCTGGGCAAGGCAGGGGAAAGAATACATATCTGATGGCGCACACCTACATTAGTAAAAACAATAGAATGAGGAAAGAGTAACACTGCGAACCCAGGGATGAAAACGGAAGTTACTGATTTTGACAATAATGAACAGAAAACAATTAGAAGCTTAAAGGAGCTTCACACGTAACGATAACCATTAGTACAAGTCTTAATAGATGAGTATTTAGCATTTATCTCTAAGGGTAAATTTGTAGGCAAGCAATACTAAAAGCTGCCTTTAGGTCTGGCCTGGAAACAAATGGTAATAATAAAAGCTCATTTTACATCCAACATTTATTACAAGTCTCACCATTTGTCTGCAGATGGGGCAGTTAATAGCACCCAGCCACGTGCCATACCTCCAGTAGGCTATAATGCAGGAGCCTATGCAGGACAAGACAGCACTTTACAACATGAACACAGCATTATGTACAAATAAAATAACTAATAAGTCTTTTGATCCATGTATGCTTTGATTAATTAGATTTTTTTCAACTGAATTCTATATTCATTCTGATTTCTGTGTATTATCTAGCTAAGCCAACACATGCTAACAGCATACAGTTAAGAAAACATGCTCAACAAGTGACAATCACCAATTAGCTGACTAAAAGGAGAAAAATGTCTCCAGAAGAATCTTCACTTTTTCTTTCAGTTTCATGGAACTGTTTGGTTTTGCTTAGTGCACATTAGCAAAATCTGTACTACAGTCTTACCACAGAAAAGGTGTCCACAATTGGTTTCCACAGGCAGAACAGCCTGCTGTAAACATACAGGACAAGACATGTCTGTGTAATACTGCTGCCTGGCCTCTGCCTGAGAATTTTCATCCTGACAGAAAGAAATCAAATACATAAAATTTAATATACGAGTCATCATACACCAGAAAATTTGGAAATGTATGTCCTTGCTGAAAAATAAAATATAAATGTATGAAAGATAAAGCCAGTCATCAATCCAGCAAAACTATACAGGGAGTTACCTTATTTCGTACCATCAAAATATGTTAACTGAGAACAACTTTCTTTGAAACTTCTAGAATATGTTCATGGTTAATTTATAAAACTTTATATTTAAACATAGCCCTTTTACAACTCCCTATGGTTGTTTGGCAACATACACTTTCCAGCTTACTCCCCCAGCTTTCTACTAATTTCTAGCCTAAATACTTAAAAGGCTTTCCCAAACTAAATGCATTTTTAAACAAGTATACAGATACTATTATATATTCTTATATAGTATTTATACTTATTATAAGATACAGATAAGATACTAGCTTAGTATTACTTTTGGTTCAGATGAAGTGTAAAAAGTAACAACATGATTCTCAAATTGACTCAATTGCTTTCGATACTTTTGCAGGTATTTGAAAACAATTACCTTCTATAGTTTGAAATAAACCAGATTCTATGTCCACCAGTTAGACAAAACACAAAAAGTGCTAAAGTTGCAACGCTTACTACAATTCTATGTGTAACTGTGAAAAAAAAAAAATAACAAAAAAAATTTAACAATTCAAACAGATTTGATATCGTGTTGTTGTTTGTATGTTCTCAATCATATTTGGGAGTTGTATTTGCCCGTGTACCTGCTCTGTTTGGAGCTGTTGTCGGACAGCTCGAACGTGCTCCTGATTCTCAGGATGAATGTTCTGCTCCTCTTGTCTGTGAGGTCGAAAAGGTAGACATTTGGCATCATAATTTTACTGAGCTGAAACTCATGAGTGTAAGCAGCACATAAAGCTATGCAAATTGAATTTTTTTTCATTTAGCATATGATTTGGAAAAGCTAATGCACAAACACGCAGAACAGAAAGCAAGGTTTTGATAAGACAATAGCTATATGAATGGTTTGCCAAGCAGTGCCTACAAGCAAACAAATTGTGGAGACAAGTTTTCCTATGCAAGATTTAACTATAGTAAAGCTTTGCTGTTTAGTGAAATATATTTACTGGGGGTAAAAATATTTATTTAAAAAAAATACTACTACTTTATATAAATATCCTGAACTTACGGCTTACCTGCAGAGCAGAGTGAGAAGGCCTGCAAGGAAGGTGACACTGAGCACCACAACAAATAAGACCTGGTTGCTGACACCCTCAATCAAAGTGTCCTCATCTTGGATCATGTAGTCCAAGTCCCCACATTGACTGTCCTCCATCACTGACACTCATAGCCTTCAACACTAGGAAAAAAGAAAACAAAAGGTTAATCATTTCACTGGAAACTGTTCTGTTTCTTTTCTTTTTAATAGAAATAATAAAATAAAACTTTGTACATTAGTAAAATATTAAATTACTATGCTTATTATTGTTCTTATTAATAATATTAATTGTTCTATAAATAGCAACATCTTTATAGTCTGTAAAGCATCTAAATAATGGCAAATGTCCTTTAAAAAAAAAAAAAAGTTACCACATACCAGATTGATAGCTTTTTAAAACAACCTGAATGCTTCTGCTACAGCCGTATAATATAAGACAATCAAATACTAAATAATACTTTACATTTTCACATTTAGATCTTTCAATGAACAAAGTTACAGCCACAAGTTTGCTGGAACCCCCCGAAACAATGAAGCCACACACAAGGTTCACCACTTGGATTCAATGCATAGTCCACAGTGCTACCAGTTTTCAAAGTCACTTCAAAATGAGAGAATCAAAAACATACAATTTCAAACAACAGAATAACTTGCTTGCATAAAGGAACAGAAACTAGTTTGACTGAACCTTTTATATTAATTTACTCTAGATATTCGTCTTACAATGTCTCTGCAGGTTTTAAAGGTTTGAAAACAAGTGGTATTTTCATCTTTAAGCTACAAACTTTGAATTATTGCAGACTTGTTTTTCATTACCCAGCTACTGAATCGGAAGCTAACGTCAGCTTCGTCCAGCTACAACAGTAACGTTAGATGCAGAAGGCTTCGTATCGTTAGCACATCAAACAGACTAGCTAACAGTGCTGGACAGTTATCAGTCAGATTTCCAATAATCAAAAGATATACCAAGATCACAGAACATATAGAAACGCATTGTTTTCTTTCATTAACGTTACTAATCAGCTAGCACTGTCTGCCATAAATTTACAATTAATCTGTTACCCACGCTGCTAGCTAAGTTTAGAGTTAGCGTAGAGTTGGGTACCGGGCTGGTTGGTAAAGTGAATGTGTTGTTCAGGTAATTCATTTATGAATACGTTGAGTCACCCTCCCCCGACGTTGGGCAGTAGCTAAATTACAGTACAGCACACAGATTAAACACAAACAGATGGTAATCCGAGCTCAAGCGGGCCGTTATCGCGTAGCTATATCATAAACATAGCTACCATTTTGCTTGGTTAAACAAGGACGCCTAGGGTCTGGCTGTCACAACACAAAAGCAGAATGACAGCTGATAAACTCTGACTTATGTAACCTCCCAACTACATCGCAAAGCACTGCAGTAACGTTACAAGACAGGGCATGACGAATTACCCCACCTACCAATGAGAAGTCCACCTTTCTCTAAACTCCAGGCTCCAGACTTGAGTCTCGAGGCATTTTTCTTTCCAGAAATGACAGATTTTAGAGTCAGATCACCACGTCGGGGCGAGTAGCCGCAGCAGCATCCTTGATTAAATCAAGAACTGGTTTTAAATCTGTTTTGCATGAAGCTAGTAACGTTGCTGCAGTTTCAAGTTGTTGCTTCAGCTTTTGCTTTTTCTTCCTCTGAGATTGTCAATTTAAACGCTTCAAGGCGCACTGTCGCCCTCCACAGGATGGCTGGTGGTTTTCATAGATCTCTCAAATAGTCCATTGCTCCTGATATAATAGCTTAGCCTATCTATCTATCTATCTATTGCTTAATTGCATTTCACACTCTGACCAGTGTGGCAGTAGTTGGCTTTACGGGTTTTACAACAGGTGTGAACGTCCCTGAAAACAAGACGTATTTCCCATTTGCAACAACTCTACCTCTGATTGGCTAGTACGTGTTCGTTAGGTTAGTAGTAGCCAATCAGAGGCAGAACAGGGGGCGGGACTTAACGCAACGCTGGTGTGCATCAAGTGAGATTAGTGGGAAACAATATAACGCGTCCATAAAATAAAGCTAGCTATCTTAACTTTTCCACGCCACCTTTTTATTGAGGCAGAATGCCTCGTTACGCCCAGCTCGTGATGGGCCCGGCGGGTAGCGGTAAGGTAAGTTATCAGTCATTCAGTTATACGACTGGGAATGACTTGTTATGCTATTCGGCTAAAGCGCTATGCTAAGGCATGAGGTTGCAACATAGACTAAGTTCAAGTTACATCTGCTTTTCATTTGTTTATTGTTTTGGGTTTTATTTTCCTTTTCAGAGTACATACTGCTCCACCATGGTCCAGCATTCAGAGTCCATAAACCGCTCAGTTCAGGTGGTCAATCTGGACCCAGCAGCTGAGCACTTTGACTACCCTGTCATGGCAGGTGAATACAGCATGTTCATAGTTCACAAACGGATGGGTACATGATCTAACTACAAATAGTAAATCTTAGCCGTACTTAACCCAGAACAGAGGGTTTACAAAAATAAAAACACAATTAGGTTAAGGTAAGAAGAGAATAATTTGTGTTATTACGTACTTATATTGGGTTTAGATAGTGTTTTAGTCCACGTTTAAAACCCCGAAGCACTGAGACAGCTGAGGTAATCCAGCTGAGCTAATAATAGATAGATAGTTGAGCTGGTTCATATCATGTATAATAAACTAGTAATTTCAACAATACAAAACAGTACAAAACCAATACACCATAAAATATATATCTTAGAAAAACACAAATACTAGTGGTTGACTAGTTATTTTCTTCAAGACAACCCCATTGTTTCTGTGTCCTCAGACATCCGTGAGCTGATCCAGGTGGATGACGTGATGGAGGACCATTCTCTCAGATTTGGACCCAATGGAGGCCTGGTGTTTTGCATGGAGTACTTCGCCAACAACTTTGATTGGCTGGAGGAAACCCTGGGTCATGTAGAGGATGACTATGTACTGTTTGACTGCCCAGGTAAACATCGTGGCAGACGCACTGAAGCCAGTGCAAGATTGACTTACCCCCTTCTGTTTGCATACGGCACAGTATGTTAAGAGTGGAATGGAAGTGATTTGATGAGGACATTAATTCATTTAAGAAAGAAAACAAGTGAACAAGAGATTCTGCAATGATATGTGCCATGGTTTTCGTTACAGCAGTGTGGTCATAAATGACTGTGTCCGTTCTATTTACATCAGCACTGTATATACAGCACTGTCCCAGTTTTAGGGCTATGTTTTCACACAGTTTTGACTGGTGGCTTTATTTGCAGGTCAGATTGAACTTTACACACACCTCCCTGTAATGAGGCAGCTGGTGGAGCAGCTCCAGCAGTGGGAGTTTCGGGTGTGTGGGGTCTTTCTGGTGGACTCCCAGTTCATGGTGGAGTCTTTTAAGGTAACAGACGATCTCGTTCATTTGCTTCCGCTTTGTGTCTGAACACACCTCATTTCTGCACTGAAGCACAGTAATGAGAGCAGGCGCGGAGTCTCACATCTTCCCTCTTTTCTGACTTGCAGTTCATCTCAGGTGTTATGGCTGCCCTGAGTGCCATGGTGTCATTAGAGATCCCCCAAGTAAACATCATGACAAAAATGGACTTGCTTAGTCCGAAAGCGAAGAAGGAAATAGAAAAGTAAGTTCCATATTAATACAGTACAACAGTGTGATGTGTGTTCAGCCCACATGCAACTTTCAGCAATGATTCCCCTCAATGTTGGTGCTAAGACTCAAGTACAGGAAGCGTTACAGTGACTATTCACTATAGTGACAAGTGAATTGCATAGCATCCGAAGTTCTCTTGTTAAAGAGAGTTCTTTACAAGCTTGAACCTCAGTTTAGGGTGTTTTTCAAAACCAATAACCTAGTAAACGAGGAAAGGCCGCTACTTTCTGAATTCTCAAAAATCTTGTAAATTAAACAGGTTGTTCATCTGAAAGCAATGCTGATTGTGTTTTGCTTTATTTTTCACTAGGTACCTGGACCCAGACATGTACTCAATGATGGATGATAACTCAGATACCATCAGAAGCACAAAGTTCAGGAAGCTGACTAAAGCCATATGCGGTCTGGTAAGTGAGGCCCTTAATTTGATACTGAATTTCATTTTGGATCAGAATTTTTGGTATTTTCTTAATGCTTAACTGTCTGTGTGTCCAGATTGATGACTACAGCATGGTGAGATTCCTGCCTTTTGATCGCACAGATGAGGAAGGTATTAACATAGTACTGCAACACATTGACTTCTCTATACAGTATGGAGAGGACCTGGAGTTCAAGGAGCCAAAGGTGAAGAAACAAACAAAAGCAAAACACGATCAAATAGCATTTAACAATATGTTAAATATTATAATATTTGTTTATTTGTTATTCCCATCCTTTCCTACAGGAGGTTGATGAAGAGCCTGCTAACCTAAATTATGATGAGATTTTTCAAGACAAATCCGACAGCTGAGGAGTAACAGGAATACAGGAAAAGAAACTTGGCAAGAGTTAAAACACATTTGAGACTGATGAAGAACCAATATACACTCAATGAAGTTCAGGCGGAGAATGGCATGTGACTGCAAGGACACTGAGAAAGGGCAAAAGACTGACTGAAGATCATGAACATCTTGTGTCGTGTGTTTTTGTTTTTTGTGTGCTGCTTTGATGACACAAACAAAATGTGTGATTTCAACCCATGTGTCATGTTTTATTATTTCAGGACAATGTTAAAGTTTAAAGAGGTGTTACTAAATGAATGCTATATTTTTAAATAAAATGTTAGAGAAAAAAATGAAGGTGTGTAAAGAAAAGTGGTGTGTTAGCACCCCCATGTGGCCGCCATGCCACATGACATCTAGCCACTTCCTGCATAGCTGAAGGGTGGGACAGGCGGAAGCACGGTCCTACGGTGCTACAATTTTTCTATCGCTGAGCAGTTGGACTGATATTAATCGCGCAACATGCCGGTGAGTAAATCGTACCCAATTATTGATCAGCAGAAGCCTCTACAGTGCGGTGTAGAGCATACAGCCTGCATAAAAACCAAGACAGGGCCTCCGAGTTAACGTTAGCTATGACGAGTCTCGTTAGCATAGTTTGCTAGCATGTTTAGCTTTTGGTCCCAGTTTCGTGATGTTGGACGTGTCAGAAAACATAAATTCGCCCGTGTAACGTTTCTGCAAATTCTTCTTAGTTTAGTGTGCGTAACATTTATTGTTTGGTATCGTGATAGCATAGCCGTTACAACAGATGTGGCGGTAGCACAGATGTCACAGATGCTATCTGACAGAAATGTACGTTATCTAGTTAAATACAGTATGTGACAGCAACTTTTTCTCGCTTTTGAAAGGCGTATCACTCGAGCCTGATGGTCCCCGAAGTCAGGCTGGTGGGGAATATGGCTTTGCTTCCCCTCAAAACCCAATTCAAGGGACCAGCAAGAGGAGACGGTAAGTTACGGCTGTATGGTCGTTTTAATGAAGCAGAGTAAATTTCTCTTGATCACATAAACACATGGTGTAAGTTAGACAGTTAGCCTGTGTTTAGTTTTAAGTCTTATTCACTCTCTTGAGTCGGTTTTATTTTTCTTTAATACAGTCTATGGTTATGACACGTTGCTCAGTTCCTGATGCTTGTTTCACCTCCACTTCCTTATATGGCCTGAAGAATGCAACTTCTTCATTAATGTGGCTTCACACTCAGTTTCCAGATTGTCAGTGTTTGTAAAGCTTGGAAGCCTGTATATGACAAAACAAAAATAGGGCTAAAGAAATGGTGAACAGGAAATGACACTGCATTGATAAACATAGCAGCATTTGGCAGCTCTTATAAATGTAAACTTCATCAGATGTGCTGAACTGAGCCTTTTATTTATAGATACCTTCTTTTCTTTTCAGGGGTAGAGTCAGACATCATTGATGAGGCTATTTACTACTTCAAGGCCAATGTTTTTTTTAAGAACTACGAAATCAAGGTAAGAACTTGACTGTCTCATGTATTGGCAGCTTGCATGTGTCCCTCATTGAAGCTGACCAACTGGTTTAAAGAAAATGAATATTTATGTGTGCATGGCATTTAAAAAAAAATAATAATTAAGAGCTTCAATGCCTGCAGCTGCCCGAGTTAAATCTAACAGAAATAAGAAATGCCAAAAGAGTGTAGAATTTGTTTTTGACCTTTTAAAGATTAAGTATGGTAGTGTGCTTGTTCTTGTTTGTGTTTTCTCCTCCCCATCTCTCTCTCTCTGCTTTGAAGCAGCTGTGCATTTTGTACTTCCACATGCCCCAACTTGCTTCATCCCGTTCCCCTCAGCTATGCATAGTTACTCAGGGTTTAAACTACACAACCTTTTACTGTTCAGACCTGGCTGGAACTGTATTAATTACAATAACATTTATACTTGACAAAATACACTTTTTTTGTGTGTAATTGTAGGTATTTCAGCCAGTAAAGTAATGTTGTGTTGTGTTTCTTTCAGAATGAGGCCGACAGGACGCTGATCTATGTCACACTGTACATTTCTGAATGCCTAAAGAGGCTACAGAAGGTAAACTGCATATTTGTTAACTATTATAGTGTTTGATGTCTGCTCTTTACACTGGCTTCATGCAAAGATTAATATGTGTTGCAACAATTAAAAGGCTTATGCCAAAGCAGGGGTTTCCCAACCAATGGCTGATGACTCGCAAGGGATGATGGTTTTTAGGGAGTTATTAAATGAGAAGTGGAATGTGAATTGTTTGAATGCCTATTGATATGGGTGCCGGTAAAATAGGTGATGGTAACCCTTTGCATCTGTGTATGGGTTTCGCTTTACAGTGCAGCTCCAGGAGCCAGGGAGAGAAGGAGATGTACACTCTCGGCATCACTAACTTTCCCATTCCTGGAGAGCCTGGCTTCCCTCTCAATGCTATGTATCTTAAACCTACAAACAAGCAGGAGGAAGGTAAGAACCAGCGCCATAAACTAGGTCTTGCTCTTGCGCAGTTAGACAGTTCGCCATATTTCTGCTAAAGTAAATCATTGAGGCTCATTAAGGGTGTTTCACAAGCCTGTTCTCTGAATTAGCGCCAGTTTCCTTGTACATTTTTAATCTAATTCCCAGTCTGAAGCAATATCTAGCCAAAAATAGCAATGCTGACCAGTGCTCCATCAGCTTTAGGGTTTGAGGTTCGAAATGCATGGAAAGGCCGGGATATTTAATCATCCCTTGAGATATGGAATGGTTGAGATGTTAATTAGACTAAAATTACGCCACGTCCATGTTGGCGTTTCGGTCAGTCCTATTTTGACTTTGCTTCTGACTGTTACCGCTGACTTCTTTTTTTTTTTTTTGTAAAGATAATAAAATATTAAAGTTGGGTGGTCAACAATGTAAGCTGTGCCTCAGACTGTGATTTATGCAGGTGTTTTATTTAAAGATGAATGAACAAGTTCAAAGACTGGCAGAACAGGTCCATCTTTACAATCATGTATGTTCAGTGTGAGACCACAGGGGCAATCAAATGGGAGAGACCAGCTCTTCTTGTTTTGCTGTTTATTAGCCGTGAACACAACAGTCCTCCCTCAGCCCTTGATGCTTTCTGTAAGTCCGCATCTCTGAAGACTTTGCCTGAGGGTTTGCCTACAGTTCATAGCGTTATGTCATTAAATATGGGGTAACCAGGGGAGGCCTGAGTTAAAAAAAAAATAATAAAAAAAAAAAAGGTAAAAAAACATGGGAGGAGCAAGGAAAAAAAGTTAACATGTAAGTGTATGATGCTGTTTTGATAAAGACGAGTAAAATTATTATTTTGAAGTTAGGTTTTTGTCCACAGGTAATTTCCAGATAATCAATTTACTTGGAAAGAGCTTGGAATACATTCAAATCAGACAGTGTCTGCCTCGGCCGTGAAGAAAGTAAAAAATGTAAAACAAAAAGTCCCAAACCCACAATTGTTATGCCACTGAGTTCTTGCTGCTTTCCCAAAATATTTTATATATATTTGCACGCCCCCTGGTGTTTCGGAGAATAAAGCAACACCTTCTGAGCATAAAGGCCTCTGTGCGTGCTAGTAGCTCGCATGCCGTCTGCGGAGGCCTGCGCCACAGTGTCTTGCACAAGCATAAACTAAGCTGAAGGTCCCCATTCCCAGTTTTGATCATAATGAATGAAACGTTATGTTTTGGTGTGACTTTTGTCATAGTGTCTTTGGCGATGATTATAATACTGGTTCTGAAACCTTTTCCAGAGAATATGAGGGCGTACCTCCAGCAGATCCGCCAGGAGACCGGCTTGAGACTATGTGACCGCGTGTTTGACCCCCAGACTGACAAACCCAGCAAGGTGAGTCCAAAATTTCCAAAATGACAGCACTACAGCTTTATATGCATCGGGGGCCTGTACCACGAAGCAAGTTCAACATACCCAGGATATCTTTTTGTCATCTGGCTTCACTAACCCTAACAATTGCGATTAGGATAAATGGTCACACAATACTAGTTGTCAACTCAGCAAGTCCACTCATGGTTTCCCAATCCAGCCATGAGCGCGTTGTCTCTATAATAGGCTACAAGATAGCATACCTATTAACCTAAAATAAAAAGATTCATATTAAACTGAATTCTAACAGGCCTACCAAACGGCTGATAATATTCAGCCTAATAAGAAAAATGAAACCTATTTATTTTAACGGCTGTGAGAAACAGACTACGGAGCAAATAAAAACACATTTCAAAGCCATAAGTAGGCTTTAGCTATACTATCACATCTTAAAAACCTACAAGTAGTAGCCTACCTCAATCAGTCTCTGTAGGATGGTATCGCTCTACAAAAGTTTTGCTGCATCACCACAGCAAATATAAAGGCAGGCTATGAAGATGGTGAGGTTCTTTTCCAAGAGAGCTGATTGGTCAGTATGCAGTGCTATTATAGAGTTGATATCTTATCTGGAACATAACCTGCTCTGGAGCAGGTAAGCTGTTCAGCGTTAGTTACTGAAAACCCAGGGTTAACCCCGAATTTATTTGAATAAGCTCAAATCCTGCTTTGTGGTACAGGCCCCTGGTTATTGGCAATTCTGCCCTGGTTTCAAACATGACAAGGTGCATCGGTCATACCAGCTCTCACCCACATTTCCTGTGTTTAAATGAAATTCTGAGGGATAATGTAACCATTTATTCAGAATATAATCACTGAGGTATCAGCACCCAATCCAGTTAAAATTGTAATGTGGACCAAGGCTTTGTTACTCAAGAAGAGGACATCATAGATGATTTAGCTGTTTCACAGGCTCCCCATCAGGAACGTTAACATAGCGTACCCTCCATATCAATATATTGTATATCAACATATTGAAGACAGGTTCCATGTTGGAGTTGTGAATGTATTTCAACACTGAAACACTCCTGTTGTCTTATGACCAGTGGATTGTTTCCTGTCCAGGTGTTTTTTGTTTGTTTGCCACAGGTAGTTTCAGTGCAGAAGCTTCAGACACTTTTCTTAACAGAGGTTTGTTTCTTTCAGTGGTGGGTGTGCTTTGTCAAGCGGCAGTTCATGAACAAAAGTCTGTCAGCTCCTGGACAGTGAACAACTCAGGACCCAGTTTCTATTCTACACCTGCAGGATGGCTGGTTGGATTTTTTCTTTGGGTGGGGAGGGGTCTGCTTTTGTGTTGCTAAAATGATTTTATACTCTTTCAGTTTAAAGGATATGTCTTCTCTTGTCTGGATGTTGATCATATTGAGCTGGTGCTTAATTCAATAAAGCAATTGTGAAGATTGGAAAACATGTGTTACTGTGTTTTGTTATTGCACTGAAAATAAGGCACATATTAACCTAGTCTTGATTAACAGTAGCTTGGAAAGAAGATAAACCGGGAAAGTTAGATTTGAGTGAGCTGTAGACATTATTCATTTAAGATGAAGACTAAATTGTAGAGTGGAGGGGTAGAAACAAACACAGTCAATGTCCACAAAGTTTATTACTGCTTTTCAACGTATCATTCATTTAAAAAGTGGGTGTAATGGCATACCTATCATTAATCAAACGTCCTTACTAAGCATAAAATTGCTATAATTGAGCTCTATCAAATCACGTAATCATATCATTTTGTGGGAGGTACAGGGTTTTCTCACAGCAGACATTTTGACTTATAGTAGGAAAAATACGTTATTAATTCAGCCAACCTTCATTTTATTATTTACACCTTGTGCTTTTCCTACTGTGACATGTCAAAATGTCTTTGAAGCAGATCTATTTGAAGCGCTACAGTACAATATCAACACACTTCCTCCCCCATAGGTAAGGTAAATGCATTTCATCTGCACATGTGCAACATGTGGGTTTTCCCAAGCAAGGACACATAATTTATATTTACACAGGTTAAAAAAAATGTAGGATGTTCATTAAAAATAGATTTATCTGTGTGTTGTCTTTGGTTTGTCCACAAGTTTTTTTTTTTTTCGTGTCAAAACAAGCCCTCAGATGCAGACAGTCCTTATTTTAAAAAAGTTTCCCTCGGCTGGCAGTTAGAGTTAAGGCAGCACTGGGTGATGAAGTTTCCCCCCTTAGGGAAAGAAGGAACACTTTCTCTGCAGAACACTTGCAGTGTGCAGGGAAAGAAACACCAGTGTCTGTATTTCTATCTCTTTATTGACTAAATACTCCAAAATTGCATAATTGATGAAATAACTGTAGACTGGATGGCTCAGTGATGCAGGTTGAAAAGAAAAAGAAAAACCTCCATAACAGATGATATGCAATAATAATCTCACTCTAAATAAATAGCTAAAAATAATGTAAACTAACTTTAGAAAATGGGGTATTTATTGTATGGATTAATTTCTCCTAAAATCTGAAGAGTATGTACATAACAGAAAGAAGTAGGCTCTGTAATTAATCTTCCCGTGAGTGAAATACTGATGCTTCACCAGAAATGGTGTCAACTATTTAAAGTAAAGTAAAATAGAAGTTTTGGCAGCACGAATGCTACAGCCATTCAACAATATTCATAAATATAAACATCTCTCAAACTGCAAGATACAAATAAGTAGAGCAATATGGGTTTATAATTGTTTTCTTCTTTGGGTGGCTGGTTGATGTTGATAAAGGTAGTGCCCCATGTTCATCTAGCCAACTTAAGTGTAAGTTGTCAAGTTGCCTGTGCAGTGCCAACCTGAAACAAAATGAACATCTCAATTTGGTTATCATCATAATATTGTGTAAACCTACAGCACTGTACTTACACAGATTAACAAGGAAATGTGTCACCTAATGAGCAGCAACAGTAGCTTCACAGGTCCAAAATACCGTGTAAAGGTTTTAAGCTGGTGTGAAAACGATGTTGTAAAGTAAGAATGCTCTCAAGAATAGACATCTTAATAGATTGTATTTTAATTGATAAAAACTATTAAAATGCAAAGTGAGTGAACAAAAGAAAAATCTAAATCAAATCAATATTTGGTGTGACCATCCTTCGCCTTCAAAAGAGCATCAATTCTTCTAGGTACACTTGCACAAAGTCAGGGATTTTGTAGGCATATCGTCAGGTGTATGATTAAACAATTGTACCCAACAGTTGCTAATGATCACCAATTCAATATGTAGGTCGAAACACGATCATTAACTGAAACAGAAACAGCTGTGTAGCAGGAATACAACTGGGTGAGAAACAGCCAAGTTCAGTTAACAAGGTGAGGTTGCTGAAGACAGTTTACTGTCAAAAGTCATACACCATGGGAAGACTGAGCCAAGACATAGGTAGTTATACTGCACCAGGGAGGTCTGTTCAAGGCAGACCAGTTTCTAGATGTGCTGTCCAAGCTCTTTGGAAGAAGTGCAAAAAAATGGGCAACGTTGAGGACCGTAGACACAGTGGTCAGCCAAAGAAAGTTCTGTAGTGCTATAACACCGAATTCCTTTTATAAATTTATAAAAAAGTTGGCACAGGTGAGCGAGGATCTTGTTCCCCCATTTTAACGCCCATCATCAGTGAAATGCCCTTGATTAATAACTTAATTAAAACGCATCACATCCACACACTGCGTTTGACTCAAATGCCTGGGGATAAGGCAACAAACGTGATTACAATATGTAAAACTATGCACTCTTATTTGCTTGACTGGGGCATCAAAAACAACATCAGTTTAACATGAGTTGTTCTTATGACCTTATTTCTGAGAATAGGTTTCATAGCATGCTTTATTTACAGATCAAAGTAAATGATTCCTGATTAAACTGTACAACATATGAGGTGTTCTTTTGCAAAAACAGACATCTTTGTGTTTATTATCTTAAAATCACAGTTCTTTTTGTGTGCACTCCAGGGAGTATCAAACAGGATAAGATCTCATTTTCAATAAATTATCTTAAATCATGTTTTCTTTTATTATTGCGCACCTCAGAGGATATCAATCAAATGGGTGTTTGTTTAGGAATGGCTGTTACCCATTTAAGCAAATTAACTCATAATATTAAATTATCTTAAGTTTTATTTAACACTCAAATGTTATATTTCAATTTATTTAACACAGTGGTATTTCAAACCGTTTCTTCCTCCTGCCATTGAGTCACAGTTTAACATTTCTCCAGTTTATGTGCATATGCATGGGTTAGAGTTCGCATGGAGGACTGCATATTCTCCTGTTTTTTTAAATTTATAAATTCAACAGTTGTGTGTACGCAACATTTATAAATGAGGCTCCAAAACAGTGGGACCCTGGTGCACCAATCTACTGTCGGGAGAAGTCTTGTCATAAGTGGTCGTCATGGAAGACGGCCGCAAGTCTTCCATGACGACGAGCAGGTACTCTGGACTGATGAGACAAAATTTTAAATATTTGGCTGCAGCAGAAGGCATCTCTCCAATATTCATTCAAGCAGAATGAGTGTCTGCAGGCAACAGTGAAGCTTTGTGAATTCCTTACAAGTTTTGGGCTGCATTTCTGCAAAGCTGGGGATCTGATCCGAATTAATGCTCTCCATCATGCAGTGCCATCAGGGAGGCATCTGATTGGTTCCAAATTTATTCTGCAGCATAACAATGACCCCAAGCATACAGCAAGTGTCATTAAGAACTATCTTCGGGGTAAAGAAGAACAAGGAGTCCTAGAAGTGATGGTATGGCCCCCACAGAGCCCTGATCTTAACATAAGTGAGTATATCTGGGATTAAATTAAGAGAGAGAAGCAAGAGAGGCTGCCTAAATCCACACTACAGAAGAACTGTGTGAAATTCTCCAAGATGGTTTGGCCAACCTACTGGCAGAGTTCCTTCAAAAAAATATGTGCAAGTGTACCTAGAAAAATTTATGCTGTTTTAAAAGGCAACACTCACTTTACATTTTGTTAATTGATAAAACTGATCTTATTAATATGTCTATTTTAGAAAGAATTCTTACAGTATTTTCCAAACCTGCCTAAAGCCTCTGCACAGTACCATCTCTGCGATTACACTACGATGAATCCTGACATGTGGTTGTACTTACTGTGTTGATGACTGGAGGGAAGCCTTAGTCAAAAGCCATTTCTTGACTCCTCCGCACACAGCGTGCCACCTTTTTCTTAAAAACTCCAGCAGGATCCTCTCGCCACTCTTTCTGCAGGACATTGCATATTACAAAACTCTGTCAACAACCTCATTAGTGCAGCCTGTACTTTCTTTGTGCCGTTTCTAACTACTTCTTCACTACGCATTTTGCACAAAGAGTTCCCCGCATATCTGACAGATATTTGCTTTTATTTGCTAACAAACTTGAGCTTAAACTATTGCCTTTTCCTCTCTCCAGGCAGGGTACTTACAGCTGCATCCACGTTGGCAGGAGAGTCTCCATTGGGGTCTGCCAACATGGAGATAACACTGATCATGATGGTCTCTACTGTATGGATGGGCAGCCAGCGCTCCTCAGGCTTCTCATAGCCATACTTGTCCTCACCAGGTTCATGTAGAATGGAGATGCAGACATCGCCATTTTTTGCCACTGGCAGAAAACAGTAATTCAGTGACACATTCATACTAAAGCAGAAGATATATATATATACACACACACACACACACACACACACACACACACCTACATATTTTTAGCACTTGACAGCATTATTTACAGAATTTCAAATACTTTCTTTGATATGGATTAAGTACAAGTACAGTGACCTGTGAAGTTGGTTCTTACCATTTGGATGCCAGATTTCTGTGATGAACTTCAACTTGGGAGGCCTCAAAGGATAGTCACGTGGGAAGGATAAGGTGGCTTTGAAGAAACCTCCTTCACTACAGATGACAAAGAGGATGGTGTGTGAAAGATCTACACGAGGGATTATGAGTGAACACACAGCTCAGCCCCAAGATAATGCAAGGTCCCTGGTGAATAATTTCACTCACAATAATGTGTCTTGAGGCCCGATGACGACCACTTCCCACTGATAGATGTCATCATCGTCTACAAGACCCGCAGAAAAGCCTTCCACTGGGTTTTTGTTGAGCTCTGAAATTTAATTTGAAATTAGTCTGGCGTGGCTTTAAAAACAGGTTTAAATCAGGTTTTGTCAAACAGAAAGAATGCAAACATAGGGAGTTAAAGTACATCAAATTAGCTTATGCTGGTGCATGTGTGGTGATTTTGCAATGGCATCAGTAGTTATTGAGCAACTGCAGCTAACGTTAGCCTTAGTCATATCCTCTCTAACAGCTGTCTGGCACGCTATCTATAACTTACACGTCGTTTCAACTTTGTTGTCACTAGCTCTATCTGTATGTAAAACGTAAGCTAACCAAATAAAACAACAGCCACATGAAACGTAGTTGTTGCTCTCGTGTGATCATTTAATACAACGTTAACGTTACAGCAAAAACAGCTCTAGTAGTAGCAACAGTAGCCAACTTACCTGCTAACTGTTTACGTAGTAGCAACGAGGACTGTTCTGTCATTTTGAAGCTATATGTATATATATATGTTTAACTGTGCTATTTGTATTAATTAACGCCAACTAACTGTCATCACAATAAAATTAAACATCGGGCAAAGATTGTAAAGCACACCGTCCACGTTTTGTCGTTTGTCTGACAACACTAATAACATGAGTCAAAAAAAGGTGGAGGTCGATGGAGTATTTCTTGCCCTCTGGAAAACCTCTCAGGTAAATATTGCTTGCAGGCTGTGTACTGGTACACCAATTAAATAAAAGTTGAGGTCAGAGTAAGTGGCATGGCTAAGATGTATAACTGTTAGTTTTAGCAAAAGAGGTGGGATTTCTCGCTCACACAGCCATAGACGATATAATAACCAATGAAGTGGTGCCTGTCAGGCTTTGCGCAGGGCAGACGTTTCCCCGTAAGGTTAAGTTTTCTTCTTCATGGCTTTGCAGCAGGCTATCACCTCCAATCGGTGCGTTACTGCCACAAACAGTTTGTAATGGAAACTACACGTTCTCTATTTGTATGCCAGACTCCGCATCCTTTATATATACAGTCTATGATCCTGACCTAAAAGGTACAGCCCATAAGATCAGGAGTAGAGTCCACATACTTTTGTGTACTTTGGGTCTGGGGCTATTTTTAATGTTTTAGCTTTAGGGAAATGTTATTGTTACTGCATATAATGGTATTTTAAACAATACTCTGTCCTCCCAACTCAAAAACAAGTGGGGAAGGCCAACATGACACTGTCCACACTCACAAAAAAGGTCCATAAAGAACTGGTTTCCCCAGTTTGGTGCAGATGAACTTGACTGCTACCATTGTGAACACTGAGGGGATGTCTTCTGTATTTTTAATGTGGATTTTAGAGTTTTGGCAACTGTGAGGGAGTTTTCCTGCCATACCAAAAAACTATACCAAAAACCTTTCATTAGTATTTTCACAGGCTAATTCCAGTATTGTTAGTCTCTATATATATTCAAATTTGACTACTTTAAGGTCAGTTCATGTAAAACTACAATGCACACATTCAGTATTTCCCCACCACAATTCTTGGTAGTATGAATAAGGCTTTAACAGCATTAAGACTATCATGTCGGGAAATTACATACAGAAAATGCATTGAACAGACAAAATGAGTAAATCAAATATGAAAAATCCTATATGTTAGAGAATTGCGGCTATGGGCTTGCCTGCACAGAGCTCTGAACTCAGCTGCATCAAACACCTTTGGTATGAGTTGGAACCATACGGTTTGTGGTTGGAACTTCAACCTGGGCCTTATTGCCCAACATCAGTACCCGATCTCACTAATGCTCTTGTTGCTAAATAGGGATGAATAACTGCAGCCACTACTTAGTCCTAAAGATCAGAGCATGTTTCATAATACAGCTACTTTAATACACCTGTACTGGACAATGTACACAAAATTGGTCTCTGTTCTTCCTTAACATATACCCTTGCCCTAACCTAAGAATGATGATGAATCATCTCTCCAATACAGTCATTCATGCATTTCAGTCTCAGCTCAACTCCACTTCTTGTTGCTTTACCGCTTTGAGATCCCTCTAGGCAGTTTTCAAATCCACCTCATCTCACTCTCTTCTTTCTTGCTACATCCAGAACCTCATAGCTTTCCATACCTACTTGTGCTTAAATCTATAAATACCAAAGTGCAACCACTCAATACAGCTCTAAAACGATTTTAGGCTCAACCAAAGATCATCTCCCTAGCAGTGCTCTCAGTGCAACGGCTGAAGAAAGTGCCTGCTGTGGTGTTACTTGTTGTACTCTGGTGAAAGCAGGTAATCTCCTCTGGCAGCAGCCTTTTCTAAATAATAATGTACGACAAATCTATCTGTGAAAAACTCCAGTCGCAATACTCAGTTCTCCAGTAGGCTTTTTATAACCTCATTCTCATTTGGCTTACCACAAACCTACTTTCTTATCTTATCTAGCACAGAATGATGTATTTTAGGATTTGGAAAGAGCCATGTTGTAATATGGGGCCAGCAGAATGTATGACCTTTCTCCACCCACGTTCAACCCGAGCTCCTCCGCTCCCTCACTTGCTCTTGTTTTTCTGGTTGGACATACAGGAGTGCTATTGTTGTACATCTTGACATCTTATACAGTATATGTCCTTGTATGCCTTAATGGTATTTCAAACATGTAACGCATAACCTTGCTTCTCCAGCATGTAAACATTTACTACCCTCTCCATGATCTTAAACAATACAGCTTCCAATTCATTTGACTTGTATGAACCTGGGTATGTGAAATTCTATCTTGGTTTAAAAATGGAAAAACAGTTTTTCCTTGCTATTAAACACTGCATCATCTAGTCTCTAAAACATCCCAGTGCTGATGTCGTTCATTATGTAAATGATTTTCCATCAGCTTCCTATTGACCCATGCAGTTTGCCCTGCAAAAATACATTAATCAGTTTTCCAAATGTATCACACATTTGGTTCTCTTATAAAATTGCATTCCTCCTCCTCACCTCCCTAATATTTACCCAAAGCTGACTTACATGAAAATATGTTTTATATGTTTGTTACATGTGGCAATAGTGTCCACATCTTCTAACACTTGTATTTTAATACGGTTCTTTGACCCACTTTGCTTTCACCATTAAGGTTTGTCGCCCTCCAAAACTTATTATTTCAGCATTATTTATTCTACTTGATATTTTCTCACTCCTCTATAGTTTATCCTCAAAAGTATGAACATTTTTGTTTTGTTTCTGGCCCTTTAGCACTAGTGAGCATATCCTCACTTACGTCTTTGTGTCTCCCATGACAACCTCTGGTAGTTCTCTGCTGCTAACACCAGCACTTCAGTCATCTCCAGGTCTTTAACTGATTTGTTTGTTTTTTGCTCACAGGCATCAGCTGTAAAAGCAGAGGAAAGGTAAGGTGGATCAAATATGCATTAGGAGGAGTGTCTACGTGAGTTGGTTTAGGGTGGTATTTTCCTGCACACTCACAGATCCTGATGTCACCCTCACTTCATTAAAAAAAAGCTTTTTGCATATGAGCCTTGCCACATCCTCTTGCATCCCTGCAGACTGCAGAAACCTCCAACATTTGAAAGAGGACAAGGATAGGTATATAAATTATTCCATTTGATAAGTCGTGAAGCGCAGCATTAATTCAGGCAGAATACTGTTGTATTCTGAATCAGCTGTTTGATTCATGCGTCATAATTACTGGCTCATTGTCCAGCTGGTTGGCTATCAGCTGACAGGGTCCACTATTACTCTGTGGATATGTTTATGAAGATTCTCAGTCATCTAGGTCATAGTTTCGCAAGGAGGGTTAAATCAAGGGCAGCAGGACCTTTGTTGAAGGTACATCCGAGAGGCTTCTTTAGTTATGAAGAAGAGAACTGAAGACGCTTATTCAGGGCTCAAGCAGCCTCTTGGATGTGAGGTGAAACTTCAAGTACCTTCAACCAAGTCTAGTTGCCCTTGATTTAACCCTCCTTGAATAATTCTGCTGATATGCTCATGTCAACATCGTGTGGTGCCACAGCCCCCTTGGGCCTCCTTATGTGCTTTTTGGTATTGTTTATTTAACTAAAATGTAATCTCCATGTAGGCCTATGTCTCTATTAATGGGGGATTAGTTCTCCCAGCAGAATCGTCGTTGCTACTCAGAATCTTTGAGAGCTCATACAAAGAGCAGAGCCTTTTTCCCTGGCAAATCTAACTGTATAACAATTTACATTTTATTATTTATATCTCCAAGTCCAATCAAGGGTAACTGGAATTGGTTGAAGATACTTGAAGAAATTTCGCCGCTCATCCAAGAGGCTTAGAACTGAAGATGGGAGGCAAAAAGTCTCAAAGTATCTTCAACCAAGTCCAGTTGATCTTGATTTTAACCCACCTTGGATAACTATGACCTGGATGACTGAGAATATTCACACACAGGAGCTGAAAAACTTGGGGGATGTGGGATGTCTCTGGAACTTGGAGTACTAACAATACCTCTTACCACTGGGCAAGAAGCTAAGACCGAGGCTATACTTAGTGTATTTGCTGGTCTCATTTCTGTAAGTGTAATGACGCTATTAAATACTGTATCATTAGGCGGCGATATTGTACATTAATGTTAAAAATGCTTTTGTCTCTGTGAGGGGAAAGAGATACAGACCCCTGGTCAGTGGCTAATAGCAGGTCATTTGTTGTATTGATTAGTCCTGTCTCGTTGCTGTTCTGAGGTCGAAACCACATTTGAGTACACTATTGATGCTTTTTATACTGAGAAAAAGAATGTGTTGCTGGTCTCCATGTCTTTACTTGAATAGACCTCTTGACTTGAAAAGTGTCCACTGGCCTGTGATTGAATTGTACCTGCAGAAACCTGGAAATCAAATGCATTACGTATTTTCACTAAAATGTCATAAAGGTCTGATGAGAAAAAAGATCAAGTGGCAGATTGTGGCTGGCCCTGAGAAATTAATTTAATTATTTGTTTGTTTCAGCCAAGATAACTTGTCAGAGGTAGGGGCTTCTTACCACTGAAGGTCATTTAATACTAGCTTAGAAACACAACCAATTTTCAGGTATTTGACCAATTTGGTCAGGCATGTGCAACCTGAATACCAAATTTCAAACACTCTCCGATACTTTGGGATAGGAGATATCAGACAAACAACTTATTGTCTTATGTTATGATCCCAGACCATATTTTTGCACAAACCCTGCCCACATGTGCCTGATGACTTGTTTCTCTAAATTAGTTCATGCCTCTCCCCCATGACCAAAATGGGAAAGAACTTTGTACACCATAATTGTTCAGAATACCAAGTGAAGTAATTAATAAATTCAAACCACAGAGATGCAGAGATGATGTGCTCAGCTTCTTCATCATTGCTTCAGTCTAAACTATGCCATGAAATTTGCAGCACACATTCAAGCAACCAGCAGGAAGATAACTATTGATTTTATTGACCCTCTGACCTTTCCTCGAGCAGTGTTTGTTAACTACATCTCCAAGTGCTCTAGTTTCTAGGCTCAGGAACAGGAGTCCCAATTACTAGCTTGACTGAAAATTAAAGTGTGTTTTAGGAGACATTCATAAAACACCATTTCTAGGACGAAAAACTTCAATCCTAATTCCTTTACCATTATTCATGAAATTTAGTTCAATTTATTGGAATTTATGCAACCAATGGCACAGAATGTACATTCTTTTTAATCTTTAACTTCAATTGCATTTCATTCATTACCAATTACCTCAGTTATGAAACATACATTCATACATTACATTCACTTTTAATGTAATCGTTTTAGCAC